GAGTATAATTGAGAGGATGGTACACATGTACAGCCCCATCGTCATCATCGCCACCAGGGTGGCACATTGGTTACAACTGATGAGCCTATGTTGGTTGACACATCATTATCATTCAAACTCCATAGTTTATATTAGGGGTCACCCTTTGTGTTGTACATTCTGATTTTTGACAAGTGTATAATGACATTTACCCACCATTGTAGTATCATACAGAACAGTTCCACTGCCCTAAAAATTCCTGTGCTCTATCATCCCCCATTAATTTTTTAACCTACAGAATGAACCAACTTCCATGCTAAGGAAGTTAAAGAAATTATCATCCATCTCTGTTCTTCCACTCTCAATTTTTGTTAGTTCTGCTATTTTGTTTACATTGTTGAGGTTTTTATATTCTATTCAATAACCATAATTGCTCTGATTTAAAATATTAATATTAATTCAGTATTCACCAGGATTCCTCCATTGGTGAACTTATTTTGCTTTATCTTTTGGTTGGTTAGATTTCAGCATCAGCTGATTTTTTTTTAATACCTTATGGATGTCTAAGTCCCTAATTCATGTTTCAGAATGTCTATTAACTTTATACTCAAAGGATTGTTTAGCTGGACATAAAATTCTGGTTCACAATATCTTTCTCATAGAACTGTAGATCTTGTTCCACTGTTTTCTGAAATTGTATTGCTGTAGAGGATTCTGATTCTCTTCAACCCATCTCTCTGTGCCCCTTAGTTGTATGGTTCTTTCTTTATACTTCAAGGTCAGTAACTTTTTAAGGATGTCTTGGTGTTAATTACACCATCAAATTTTCCTGGGACATAGAATGGCAGTTAAATATGTAGAGTCACGTCTTTTTTCAGGGAATTGTCCATTATACATTTGAATACTTTCTTCCCCAGTTCTATTATTCTAACTTTTCTTCAGGAATCACATCATTTATGTATATTTTGGATTTCTTTTGCTGCCCATGTGTCATTTTGTCTTACTAGTCTTCTCCATTTAATGTTGTGTGATTTCCTCCATCCCACCTACCACATTTCTAGTTGTTTGTGCTCTGCTTTGTCTATTTATTCATTGTTTATCTTTTTTTTAAAATGTGATATATATTTTTTTCTTCCCTATTTTCCCTGTGAGCTTTGCTAACTCACCTTACAGCTTTCATCTCTTTCTGTTGTCAAATAGTTCATTTTTTAACTTTCTGTGTCTAGACAGCAGTGAGAATGAACAATCTACAGCTGTGTGCAACAACGGTGAACATGGTTTTGATCAAAAGAAGCCAGACTTAAAAGAGCACACGTGGTATGACTCCATGTGAAAGTGCTGGTTCTGTGGGTCAAAGACAGTTGGATATTGGCAATTCATAGGCATCAACCTAAAACAAAGTACAAAACAGGCAAAAGGCAGTACAGTGGTTATCTAGTTGAGGAGATGTGACCAAAAGGTAACACCAGGCAAGCTTCTGGGGTTGTTAATTTTCTGTTTCTTAACCTGGGTGCTGGTCGTATAGGTGTGTTCAGTTTGTGAAAATATATCTATACTCACTTGCATTTTTTTTGTTTGTATGTAATACTGCAATAAAAAGTGAAAAACAAAAGACAGGGAGATGCCTCCTCTCGTGGGGGGCATCACAGCCCTAGGTTTCATCATTCCACTGTGAGGAGGATGGCCATGCCTTTCAGGGGTGACATTTATTTAGGGGCCCAAGGTGGCACATTAGCTCTCAGCATGTTCCTTCTCCCAGTTTGGACGTCGTGGTGTCGGGGGTGTGACGATGCCTCATGTCAGCAGCTGTGGCAACTTCACTCTCTGTCGGTGGCAGTGTTTTCAAGGGAGGGCAATAGGATGGAAATGCTCCTACCCTACCATCTTCAACATCCTGTTGAAGGATAGGTTTCTGAGCTGACTGGTGTGGGTGTAGCTGGAAAGAAACAGACCTGACATTCTTTCTTAACTAAATAAAATGCTGGTGTTTAATAAGACCCTTTCAGTGTGATCTCCTTGGAAGGTGACCCCCAAAGTGGCCAGCATTCAGAGGTCTCTCATGTTCATCTCCTCAGTTCTTCTCCTCTTGCCAGGAGAGTCTTGAGGGGCTGCAGAGGTCTGATGGCTTCCCAGAGGGGAGCCAGGCCGGACATGGGTGACCGCAGGCCTTCTCTGGGGGCTACTTGAAGGATGGTGTTTGCTTCCATGTGGAAATGTGGCTCTGAAGCTTCTGCTTTATGGGCATGCCTTGTCTGGCGGGTGTGTCTTTTCTCTGTCCAGAGAGAGAGAGCACTGCTGGACAGTCCCTTGTTACCTGCCCCTGCCCTACCCTGGGCACCGAGCTTTGTGGGCACTTGGATGGGCTGTCAGCACTGCAGGGAGTGGTCTCACCTCACCCTTGAGCATTGTCTTTCCCCTGTGGCAAGTAGCTGCAGGCTGGCCTCCGTGTAGGATGTAGCATGGCAGTGAAGGGCTCACCAGTGGGAGGCCATGTGGATGGCATGGTGATGTTCCTGCCTCAAGGCCCTTGATTGTACTGTTGCTTCTCCTGGAGCTCATCCTCTTTTCACCTGCCCTGCTGACCCCAGGAAGCCCTGCATGCAGCTCTGCTTCCCACAAAGCCTTTACCAAGTCCATGAATTGGGTGACAAACACCACCCATGGCGGATGCATTTTTCTAATCACAGTGACACCTACAGTGACTGGGCAGCATCTGGTGCTGTCCCCTCTGTCCATATTGAGATACTGGGACTCAGCAGGCAGAGCCTTCTCCCAGGGACCATGGCTGGTAAAGGCATTGTCAGGTTTTGACCTCAGGTCCCAGAGTCTAGTCCACCCATCACATTTTGTGTCATGCTTAGTGTTCTGACTCCTCTCTCCTGTTCTCAGTCACCAGGCACTTAACTGTAACTCTGTGTGCACCTCTCTCCTTTGTGTCAGGTCTCCCAAAGAGGGTACCTGTCCTTCCCTCCAGGCCACTGGGAGCCCGTGTGGGTGTGAGCTTAGTGCCTCTCTGACCCGGCCTGTGGAAGGATGTGATGCCATCGGGACTCTGTCCCATGGCCTCAGCCTCCAGCCGGACTTCAACACAGACTGGAGGGTCTCCGGGCAGGCGGGCCTCGAGGCGGGCGGGGCCATCCCAGACTCTGCTTTCTCCTCCTGGCTGAGTTCAGGCCACCTTAACACACCTGCCCCAGCTGCGTGCGGGACCCACCTACCTTGAAGGAAGGTTAGGTTTGCACTTGATCACAGTCTCTGGAGGGTTCACACCCTCCCCTGTATGGTAAGTTTGGGGGTTCCTGTTGATCAGGGAAGAGATGGGACCAAGAGGGGCAGTAATGAAATGAAAAGCTCATGGGATGGCACTTAGGTTTCTTGAGAGAGAAAGTCCTTCCCACAAGAACCTTCCAGAGACAGAGATGTGGGACCACCACCCAGGATGGAGGGGAGTCAGACAGGGCTCGTGTGTCTAGGTGACATCACTTAGCAGCGTGGTGGAGAGCCTCTGGGTCACAGAACCCCTCGTTCGGGGTCTTTTCTTGCCCCAGGGCCGTCATATCTGTGGCCAGCAGAAGTTGGGTACAGTCTCATGGGGTATGGAAGTGGTTGTACTCTAATAAGCTAAAAGATGCTATTTGGACTGTGTGTTTAAAGCAATCATGTATGAGAATTTGAATTTGGTGCTGGGGGCTTTGGGTTGATTGGTCCCACCTGCTGTAAAGAAGTAAATAATGTGGGCTCATTTTAGGCTAATAACACCTCTGCCCATTTATCTCTTCCACACACCCCTTCTCCCTAGGTGGTTAATTAAAGCATTTGTTTTAACCCTATGTACTGATTATTGCAAGAATTCCAGTTTATTTGGTTTCTCCAATCTCGTTAGCTATTCAGTACTGGGTTAGAACCTGCTTGATGCACAGGCCTCACGGGGCCAGAGTCAGGGAGAGGCTGCCTGCCCGGCCAGGCCTCTCTTACCACTGAGCCTGTGTCCTACCTTCAGTCACCGTAAAACCTCACCGACTGCTGACCCTGGCATAGTCCTTCTAAAACACTAATCGGATTCTGCCACAGCCTGTCTTGGGAACCTTCACTCAGCTTCCAGTTAACAGCACATCCTCCTTCTGGGGGTAACCAAATACCTTTATGGCAGAACCCCCACCTTCTCAGCAGGGGATGATACGGGTTGTTTCCAGACCACTGAGAGTATGCCTCCTTTAAGCCTTTTTTGTTTGCTTTTAAATTTGATTGTTTTCAGTACAAATCTTCATCAGGTATATTCCTTGTCATCTCAGATAGAAGCTACTATGAGTCCATTGTTTGTTTTTCTAAATGGCCTGATAGAGATATCATCCACATGCTATGCAGCTCACCCATGCAACTTAGTTCTCTCTTCTGTCTCCAAGACCTGGCCCCGCATTGGCTATAGAATAGGTGTCAATAAATAGTTGGATTGAACTGAAACTGCACTTCAGATCACTTTTTTTTGATAACTCAGGATCTTCTGCCAGGAAGCATGTGATGCCTCTGCACCTAGGATATGAGCAGAACTGGTTGCTCCAACACTGAAGGGGCCTAGACTGCTGATTTGTAGACTTTTTGTTTTGTTTTTCATAGTTCGTTTGCCTGACGTCTTACCCATGGCCAACCACTGTCACTTGCTGCTGTTACTGTGCCTGCCTCCAGCTACTCCAGAGTGCTGGGGGGCCTGTAGCAGCAGCTTGTTAGACTGAGTGTAAAACTAGAGTGTGTGTTCCTTCCCCTTAGGGGATGTGACACCCACCCCCCTACTGCACAGCCCTCACTAGTAGGATGGCCTTATTTCCCCATGGCTGATCTGAGTTGGCTCATCTTCTACAGGATTGCTTAACAAACAAGAGAAATGCAGGCTAGGGAGGGGAGGGAGCTCTCTCAAGGTCTTGGCATGGACACATGGTGGCGTCAAGACCAGGCCCTTCCTCTGTGCTTTTGTGTCCACCAGCCTTTGCAAAAAGTGACTCTTCTGTTTTCTCTTCCTCTCTCAGGGGTCCTTGATGAATTCTGTCATGGTTATTTAAGGAACCTTGCCTAGAAGTCCCAACACGCAGTTCCCCATCAACGGGAAGGCTTGGACTTCAAGATGATCATAAAGGAATATCGGATTCCTCTGCCGATGACTGTGGAGGAGTACCGCATTGCCCAGCTGTACATGATCCAGGTGGGTGGTGGGGTCGGGCAGGCCATGCCGGGCCTGCAACTGGCTCTCAGCGCCCAGGTGTGGCATGGGGTGGTGTCGTGGCCTTCACAGCAGTGTCTTCCCATTAGACTCCTGGTAAACATATGAATTGTGCTGGACTGCTAAGCACAATGCCAGGCACACAGCAGCGTGCTGGGTCTGTTGGGTATTTATGGCACTGGATTGTCTCGCCAGCATTGTGTCCACAGCATTGACAGTACTAACACTGCCTTTCACCCCTGTCATCTCACTGATCCAGGTACTGTCCTCATGTTCAGTCAGCTTGGGCCACTGGAGTAAGATGCCCCAGGCTGGGCTTAAGCCACAGACATTTATTTCTCACAATTCTAGAGGCTGGGAGTCCAAAATAAGGTGCCAGCAGAAGTAGTGTGGCAAGGCCCACCTCCCAGCTTGGAAACGGCCATCTTCTCTCTGAGTTCTCATGTGGGGGAAAGGGCAGGGAGCTCCCTGGAGTCTCTTTGATAAGGGCACTAATCCTAGCATGAGGCTCTCCCCTCATGACCTCATCGTGTCCCAAAAGCCCGACCTAACACCATCACACTGGAGGTGAGGGCTTCCACCTCTGAGTCTGGGGGGACACAGACATTCAGGCCACAACATCTATATGACAAAGAGGAAGGCAGGGGGCCCAGAGAAGATGGCCCATGACAACTTGTCCGGGAACACGGAGCCTGTCTCCCCCCTCCCAAGCCCACACTGCTCACTGCACCAGGCTGCCTATGAGACGGTTGTGTCAGCTGTGCGGCTGACTTACAGTCACAAAGGAGTTCGAGGGTGACAAGTTCCTGTGACGAGCTAGAGAATACCAACCACCTCACCCCAGACATCACTGGCCTCCCTACTCAGGGCCTGACTCACCTGGATCACAGCCTCAGGAGCCCCAGGATCTGGTTGCTTGTGGCCCAGATGTGGCCACAGCTCCTACCCACTGGGAGCCTGGCTAGGGGCGTGCTCCTCAGAGTCCCCGTCAGCTCTCTTGCTAGCCTCTTGTTCATCCTCGGTGCTCCACCCCTTTGCCTGGCCTGGCAACCTTCCTCCCGGTTGGGGGTCTGATTTTGAACCTGCTCTTGGCCTGGCTGGGGCTCTTCTGGGCATATGGATGCCTCGGGGAAGCCTCTGCCATGCAGACCCTGATCATGGCATCATACGGGGTCATCAGTGCAGGGAGAGTGCCAGCTGGCAGGGCTTCCACATCTACCCCGGGTTTGCTTAGTGGGCACTCACATTCTGCCCAGGCCGGAGATTTAATTACAAGCTCCCTGCAGAGCCCAGGACCCCGGCTCCCTTCTGGGAGGAGCTCATCGAAGCTACCTGAGTTGGACCAGCCCCCAGCTTGGGGAGCTTGGCTAGGAAGAGATTGGAAAGTAAATTTGGCCTCTCCGGGGGGCTGTTTGCTCCAGGCTGCTTCAGAAGTGCCACTCAAGTCCCTCTTGAACCATTTACCCCATAAGTATTCCTGGAGAGCAGGGAGAGAAGAAGAGCCTTACCCTCAGCCCCCAGCTCCGCGCACTCTGGAGATCGCCCAGCCTGCTCACGGACCAGGCTGGTTTGCTGAAGCTGCTGATCCTGTGGTTTCTTAACTCCCACCCAAGGCAGGGGAGCCCCTCAGCCCCTCCTAGCCTACTGGGGTTGGGTAGGGGGGTGGACATGGACATCCTCCTCAACCCCACTCACTGTCCCACTTTTTCTGTCCCTTCTCTAGCCTGGGCTTCCTGGCAGGTCAGGCAACCTACCCCACCCTCGGAGACTCCACGTGGCCCTGGCGCCTCTGACCTGGATATCCTCTTCCCACCAAGCTGCCTCACATCCCGGATGTGTTTGTTTCCTAGGGCTCTCATAACAAAACACCACAAACTAGGTGTCTTAGAGCAACAGAAATGTGTTCTTTCACAGCTGTGAAGTCTGAAGCCAAGGTGTCTGCAGGGCTGTGCCCCCTCTGAAAGTCCTAAGGGAGGCTGTTGATTGCCTTTCCTGCTTCTGGTGGGATCCTTGGTGTCCACTGGCTTGTGGCCCCCTCACTCCCATCCCTGCTTCCATCTTCACATGGCTATCTTCCCTTCGTATGTGTCTGTGTCTCTGTTTTTCTTTTCTTGTAAGAACAATGGTCATTGGATTTAGGGCCCACCCTAATCCAGTATGACCTCATCATAAATTATATCTGCAAAGGCCCTATTTCCAAATAAGGTCACATTCTGAAGTTCCGAGTGGACATGAATTTGGAGGACCCTTCCACCCACTACACCAGGGTTCAGGCACGTAGGTAGCCCTGTCTCTATGTATTTTTGGAAACTGAGACCAGAGAGAAGTGACTAGTCTAGGATGAGAGGAAGTTGTTCAGAAAATTGGAACTAGAATCCAATTATTTGCTCAATAAGCAAAGGAGTTTTCTCTGAAGAGCTCATGCTGTGGGCTAAGCAGGCCGCAATCAAACAGGTTTAAGGTCAGGTGCCAGCTCTGCCATTTAGTCTGTAAGTTGGAGACAACGGTCCTACTTACACCTTTCTCGAGGGGTTGTTGCAATAACTAAAGGAGAAAGTATCCGCAAAGCACTTAGCATAACTGCTAATGAATGAAGCTTCTGTCAGAGGCAGGAGCTTAGAAGGCATCCAGGAAGTGGTCACTGCTTTCCCTACAGGATCTGGGCTGCGTTCCAGGACCCCCTTTAGAGAGCGAGAGATGGCATATCCCTGCTCTGACNATGGACCTGCTGTCCAGGAAGCTGACCAAAGAAGGCCTTGGTGATGCTATCACATCACATGGAAACAGATTCTTCCATGGGCTTAAAGTCACCAGCACCTTGACCATGAGGTTTTCTGCATAATCAGAAACCTGACCTTTTGGACATTGGGAAGGACATTCATGGCAGAAAGATACTTAAAGGGGACCTAGGCATCATTTCTCTCAGGCACTGCTACCGAGGTCCCTTCCCACTTCCCACACTTGGGTCTCTGAACTCTTAAGAAGTGTGAAAGGCAGGACTGGTTTTGTTTGTTTTAGATCAGCTTTATAGAGATATAAGTCCCACACCGCACAATTCACACATCTGAAGTATACAGTTTAGTGGATTCAGCATACTCACAGAGTTGTGAAACCATCACCACAGTTCTATAGCATTTTCATCAGCCCAGGAAGAAGTCACTCTCCATTTCCTTCCCATCCAGGGGTAACCAATAATCTACTTTCTGTCTCTGTGGATTTACCCATTCTGGACATTTCATATAAATGGAATTACACAATGCATGGCCTTTGGTGTCTGGCTTCTTTCACTCAGCATCATGTTTTAAGATTCATCCGTGTTGTAGTATGTGTCAGTGTTCTGTTCTTTTTTATGACTGAATCATATTCCATTTTCTGGTATAATTTTTTTAACCATTTTTCAGATCATGGACATTTGGCTTTTTCTACTTTTGGCTATTGTGGATAATGCTGTGAACATTTGTGTACAGGTTTCTGTGTTGATATATGTTTTCATTTTCTTTTCCTTAATTGAAATATAGTTGATATACAGTCTTATATTAGTTTTACATATACAACACAGTGGTCCACCAGTTACCCACATTATTAAATCCTCACCCCAACTAGTGCAGTTACTATCTGTCAACATAGGAAGATGTTACAGAATCATGGCTATATTCTCCATGCTGCACTGCCATCCCCATGACCAACTTATATTATGATTGAGAATTTTTGTGCCCCTTTATCCCCCTCACCCTTCCTACTCACCCACCCCTCTTTTCATTTTCTTAAATATGTACCTAGGCATGGAATTGCTGGGTCATATGGTAACTCTGTGTTCAACTTTTTGAAGAACTGCCAAACTTGTTTCCCACAGGGACTGCACTACTATACATTCCCACCAGGAGGGTTGGTGGGGTCTGTTTATCCACAGCCTCACCAGTACTTGCTATTGTCTCTTTTTTTTGCCATCCTAGTGGATGCGAAGTGGTATCTCCTTGTAGTTCTCAGTTTTTATTTCCCTAATGATTGGTCATGTAGAGCTTCTTTTCATGTGTTCATTGGCCATTTGTATATCTTCTTTGGAGAAATGTCTATTCAAATCCTTTTCCCAGTTTGAATTTGGGTTATTACTTTGTTGTTGAGTTGTAAGGGCTCTTTATATATGTTAGATACAAGTCTCTTATCAGATCTGTTATTTATAAAAATGTTCTCACCTTCTGTGAGTTGTTCTATTTGTCTTACCATAGTATGTTTTGATGCACAAAAGGTTTTGAAATTTTGTCCAATTTATCTATTTTTTCTTTGATTACCATCCAAACTGGTGTCATATTTAAGAAATCATCATTAAATCCAAGATCATTAAAATTTACTCCTATGTTTTTTTCAAAGAGTTTTATAGTTTAAACTCTTATATTTAGGTATTTGATCCATTTTGAGTCAATCTTTATGTATGGTGTGAGGTAGGGATCCAACTTCATTCTTCTGTAAGCAGATGTCCGTGGGTCCCAGCAGCATTTGTTGAATGTTCTCTTCCCTACTGAATGGCCTTGGCACCCTTTATGAAATCAATATACATGCATACCTCAGAGATATTGCAGATTCGACTCCAGACCATCACAAAAAAGAGAATATTGCAATAAAGTGAGTCAAAAGAATTTCTTGGTTTCCCAGTGCATGTAAAATTTATGCTTTTACAGCAGCAGACTCACAGACACCAAGAAGGGACTAGCAGTTACCAAAGGGGAGGGGTGAGGGAGGGTGAGTGGGGAGGGAGGGAGAAGGGGATTGAGAGGAATTATGATTGTCACACATGGCAGGGGTCACAGGGAAGACAGTGCAGTACAAAGAAGGGAATTAAGGGGCATTATGATTAGCACATATAATGTGGGGGGGTTACGGGGAAGAGAGTATAACACAGAGAAGACAAGTAGTGACTATAGCATCTTCCTGTGCTGATTGGCAGTGACTGCAATGGGGTGTGTGGGGGAACTCGATAATATGGGTGAATGTAGTAACCACAGTATTGCTCATGTGAAACCTGCATAAGATTGTATATCAATGATACCTTAATTAAAAAAGTTATTTTTCATACTATAGTGTATACACTATACTATAGTCTATTAATTGTGAAATAGCATGTCTTAAAAAAACCCTGTATATACATTAATTAAAAAATGCTTTATTGCTAAAAAATTATAACCGTCATCTGAGCTTTCAGCAAGTCATAATCACTGATCACAGATCATCATAACAAATATAATAATAATGAAATACTTTAAATATTGTGAGAATTACCAAAATGTGACACAGAGACATGAAATGAGCAATTGCTATTGGAAAAATGGCATCAATAGTCTTGCTTAATACAGGGTTGACACAATCTTCAATTTGTAAAAAAATAATATCTGTGAAATGCAATAAAGCAAGTGCAATAAAACCAGGTATACCTTGTATATAATATGTAGGTATATGGGTTTATTTCTAGATTTCCTTACTCTATTCCTTAGATTTGTCTGTCCTATGATAGTACTACACTGTTTGGATTACCGTAGTTTTATAGTAAGTTTCTATATAGGAAAGTATGAGTGTCCCAACTTCGTTTTGTTTTCAAGATTGGTTTAGGTATTTGAAATCTTTTCCAATTCCATATGAATTTCAGGATCCGTTTTTCCATTTCTATCAAAAAGGCCATTAGAGTTTTGATAGGGACTACACTAGAGCTATAGATTTCTTTGGGGAATATTGACACCTTAACATTATTTAATCTCCCAGTTCATGAACACAAATGTCTTTCCATTTATTTAGGCCTTTAATTTCTTTCAGCAATGTCTTTTAGTTTCAGTGTACAAGTCTTTCACTGCTTTGGTTAACTTTATTCGTAGGTATTTTATTCTTTTGTATGCTATTATAAATGGAAATGATTCTTCATTTCATTTTTGCATTGTTTGGTTTTGTGTGTTGATTTTATATCATGAAAGTTTGCTGAATGCATCTATATGTTTAACAGGTTTTGGGGGGGTTCTTTAGGATTTTCCATAAATAAGATTATGTCATTGGAGAATTGAGATACTTTTATTTCTTCCTTTCCAATTTAGATGCCACCACTTACTGTCTCTTTTTCTTGCCTAATTTCTCTGGCTAGACCCTCCTGTACAATGTTGAATAGAAGCAAGAAAGCTCATTGTGTTCTTGACCACAGGAACACTTGCAGTCTGGGAACAGATGAGTTAGAATGGAGGAGTTTGCTCACGCAGTGCTGGGCTTGGAGGGAAAGCATTTCTGTTCAGCCTCCTGTAGGAGTGCAGGGGCACTCAGAGCCTGGGTCTGAATTTGGGGGTCCTGGAGTGACACTGGAGGAGCCAGTCTGGTTGGCCAAAGCCCCTCCTCCTTTCAGCGGCCCCAGGCCTGGCCTCCCGAGGCCCCTTCTGTAGACCACTGTGGCCACCTCACAGTGCAGGGGCCTTTGTCCCCACAGAAGAAGAGCCGGAACGAGACGTGTGGCGAAGGCAGTGGTGTGGAGATTTTGGAGAACCGACCGTACACGGATGGACCTGGTGGCTCTGGGCAGTACACTCACAAGGTGTACCACGTGGGCATGCACATCCCCAGCTGGTTCCGGTCCATCCTGCCCAAGGCAGCCCTGCGGGTGGTGGAGGAGTCCTGGAATGCCTACCCCTACACCCGAACCAGGTGAGCTATCCACCAGGAAGCAGCCCCGTGGCATAGATCCTGGGGGCAGCCCTCCAGGCAGGCTCAACCCCATACCCCAAAGAGCCCGGGCTCCTGGGAAGCTGAGCCCCAGTTCCATGGGGCCTCTGTCCTTAGGGAACAGGCTGGAGAGGGAAGGGCGTGCCCCTGGATGCCTCCCAGCCTGCCCAGGGGAGGAGGCCAGGAGGTGTGAGTCAAGCGAGGGCTGTCTGAGATCCCTTTGCCATCTGGGGGGGGCTCTCAGTACCATCCATCTGAGAATGCAGGACAGTCTGCTGACGGGGAAGAAACACTGACCAAGGCTGGACTAGACAGCCCAGAGACCCCTGCGCCCCGAGACCTCAGCTGCCGTGGCGATGCTTTATTACAGTCCACTTCTAGCAGGGCTTTCTTGGGATCCTCAGGTCGGGGGGTTCTTCTTGAGATAGCACTGCTGGCTTAGAACGGATAGGGGCTGCTCCCAGCTGGCCACCCAGCTGCTCTGCAGGTACGGTCCCCACAAGTCTCCAGGGGCTTCCTTCCCACACTCGGTGAGGGCCTGGAACCTGCCAGAGGGTCCACTGGGGTATTCCTCTTCCAACAGCCTTTCCTCCTCTAAGCTCATCTCCAGCTGAAAGAGGGGCACTGCCACGGTGGCATGCTGCGGTGTGCAAGTGTGTGCCTGCATCAGCATCGCACCTTATGCAGGGGGGCGATGGATGTAGGACTCTGACAGCTTCCTACAGCATCGCTCTCTTCCCCCTTAGTCCACCTGCCTGGCCTGGGCTGTTCTTGGGGCAAGGTGAGGTCCAGGAGGTTCTTGGGACAGACACGTCCCACCCTTCTGCTCCCACCTTGGCCCCACATGGGGCCCTTCGTTCCTGTCCAGCAGGGTCCAGCCAGCCCTGGCCCAGCCATCCCATGCCTGCCCCCTCCAAGTGAGGGTCCTGATGGATGCTTTCCTTCCCCAACAGGTTCACTTGCCCTTTCGTGGAGAAATTCTCCATCGACATCGAAACCTTTTATAAAACTGATGCTGGAGAAAACCCCAACGTGTTCAGCCTGTCTCCGGTTGAAAAGAACCAGATGACAATCGGTACTTGTCCTCTCCTGGGAAGGTAGTCCTGCAGGACCGTGTTCTGATTTCCCTGCCCATGGGCCCTATGTCTGCCCTTTGTCTCCAGATGGGCCCCTATCCTGAGTGGGGAGGTCAGAGTGGGAGCAAGTGTCAGGGGCACTAGTGGGGAGGCAGGACAGGCCATCTCAGCCCCATTTTCCCAGTGTGCACACCGAGGCTCAGTGTCTTTCCCACCCTGCACCCCTTCCCTTCTTCCCTTTGAGGGGTCCTTATCCCCAGAAATGCCCATGTGTTCTCAGGGAGCATCTCAGGCTGACAGCGTGCCTGAGTGCAGTGGGCCCGGGGACTGTGGCACACCCCCTTGATGGTGGATGGTCTTTACTCCTGTCCCCCAAACCTGACTATGCCATGCAGGAAATGGGCCCCACTTGTTAAATCTTAATCTTTTTCAAGAGTGGCCAGAAATCAAGATTTTCATATGAAATCCCCAATTCCTAAATATTGGAAACAAATGAAAAATCTTTGTAAATAAACTTACGTTGGCTAAGCAAACCACATCTGTGGGCCAACTGCAGCTCAGCGGCCACCAGTTTGCAGCCTCTGGTTTCCAGGCCCAAGGAAGCCAGCCACTGGGGGTGGTTCAGCAAGATGCATGGCTGGCGCTGGGGAGGTGGCAGCCGGCACCCCAGGAGCAAACTCCCAGGCAGCCTCTGATGGGCATGGAGGGCTTTTCCCTGAGACCCGGCCCCACCCCATCCCTTTCCCACCTGCTGGAGTTCGTAGGCCCCACTGGGATTTGGGAGCTGTAAGAGTTTGCTAAGGTACCCAGAAGAAAGTACCACATACTGGGTGGTTTAAACACAGAACTTTATTTTCTCACAGTTCCTGAGCCCAGCAGTCCAATATCAAGGTGCTGGCAGGGACAGCTCCTTCAGCGGCCAGTGAGGAAGAGCCTGGTTCAGGCCCCTCCTCTCGCTTCTAGTGGCTGCTGGCCGTCCTTGGTGTTCCTTTGCTTGTAAACCCATCACTCCAACCTCAGCCTTCATTTTCACATGGCGCCTCCCTGTGTGCCTGCCTGTGTCCACGTTTCCCCTTTTTATAAGCACACCAGTCCTAGTGGAGTAGGGCCCACCCTAATGGCCTCATTTTAATTTGATTACTTCTGTAAAGGGCCTTTCTCCAAATAAGGTCACATCCTGAGGTCCTGAAGTCGAGGACTCCAGCATAGGAATTTGGGGGGAACACAATCTCCCCATAACAGGAGGGAAGGACCGAGCACAACGCAGGCTCTCTGGCTGCCCTGGTCCAACCAGCCTCAGGCCCCACCTGAGTTCCGCAGGCTCCCTCCAGAGGTTCCTGCCATGGTTTCTCTGATGTTACTCTCCCATATCCCGCCTTCTCCTTGGTGGCCTCTGCTGGCTGAAAGTGTGGCCTCCCCTGGGAAGGATGTCCATCCTTCCTCACATAGCACTTCCCTCGGGTAGCTCTTGACCCCTCACTGGTTTCAGTGGTGCAGGCATCTGTGTCTGCAAACCACAGCCCAGATGCAGTGCAGACCAGTGTGCAGGGGAGAGGAGACAGCCAGGGTCTGGCCAGGCAGAGCCCTCCCATGGGCTCCTGTCCCCATGTATCCAAAAGAAGGGCTCTCTGAGCCATAAACCTTTTCCTACCAAGTGTGTACCCAGCCCTGTCTAGCAACCAATGCCTTGGGGAACGAGCACAGCAGGGTTTTGACTTTGAGCAGGCATGTGACAAGATAGCATGACCCACGTCCTTCCAAGTCGCTGCCACTCCTCTTGTTACCTACCTGCCAGGTCCCACCACCTCCTCCCTCCCGGCCCTTCAAACGGCTCTCAGCTTCCCCGCCTCTGATCTGCTAGGAGGGGTTCCCTAGCAGCCCAGCCTGCCTTAAAACAGATAGTGTCTCTTCCCCCCTCCCGGTACCATCCAGACCTCTTAGCCTGGTGAGAAATGGCCAATGTGTCCAGCTGCATCCCTGTCACCTCCCCCCATACAACCTGGTGGCTCCCCAAAGTCCCCTTCCTCTTGATCAAGCACCAGTGCTGCTGGGACATTCTCGGCCTCCCTGTCTTACTCCTGTGGCTGAAAACACCACCTTTTCTGGGAGGCTTTTCTGGGCCTTCTGGTCTATCCACCCGCACCCTACCCCATTCTACCTCCGCTGTGGCAATGCATCCTTCAGCTTACATAGTCCATCACCTTATTTATCTGCTCTGGTGGAGGGTGGGCAGGGAAAAGGTGCACATGAAACATGGGGTTTGCTGAAATGATTTGAAAAGGCAGCCAGGAAGGATGTGTTCAGGGAGCTTAAGGTCAGAGTGGCCCAGAGCAGTTTCCTCATCCTTGGGTTGGGCCTAGTCATGCCACAGGGCACCATAAGGACTTGGGGGTGGCAGGGATGTGGAGAGGGGACTGCACATGTCAGGGAAGAGTGGCTATGCGGGGTCTCCCTGCAGACCTCATCGACATAGTCAAGGACCCTGTGCCCCCCAATGAGTATAAGACAGAAGAGGATCCCAAGCTGTTCCACTCAACCAAGACGCAGCGGGGGCCCCTGTCTGACAACTGGATCGAAGAACACAAACAGCAGGCTTTCCCCATCATGTGCGCCTACAAGCTCTGCAAGGTGGAGTTCCGCTACTGGGGCATGCAGTCCAAGATCGAGAGGTTCATCCACGACACGGGTGAGCTAGGCTGGCCCCCACCCTGTCTGCATCCCCACCTCCCTCTCTCTGCAGTTGCCTGTGATTATGTTTCTGTCTTACTCCTGAAAGCTGACCCCATAGCCCATGCACAGCTTCCTGCCTGGTTTATCTTGACCACCCATGAGCACTGCACAAGCACCACAGACAAGAGGGCATTGTCCTCTTAAGAAGTTCTGCACCCTGTCCCTGACTGGTTTGTGTTGGTAGCATGGAGTGCCCACCCCCCGAGGGGAATGGCCCCAGGGGATAACTCCTTGCCTCACCGGAGGCTCTCAGCACCTGGGGGTCCAGACCCCAGGCCCTGCCCCCAGTGCTGCCTCTCCCACTCAGCTGGATACTACAGGGGCAGAGCATCTTACGCATCAAAGTGTCCTCACCCAACACCAGCCGGGCCTGGAGCAGGTGCCCAGGGAACAGGTGGACCAGCAGATGTCCTGGGCCTCCTCCTAGCTAGAGCTGCCCTGGGCTTCTCCTACCCCTAGTGCCCTCAGTTCCCTACCTGTCCCCTAGGTCATGGCATGAGGTCAGTGCCAAGGGCCTGGTCCCAGCCCAAGGCTCATGATCCAGAGGCAGCACCCAGGCAGACACCTTTTGACTCCAAGAGCAAGGGTGACTTAACTTAGATGTGAACAGAGCCATACTCCTAATGATATGCTTGACACACATCATACCAGCTCACAGTGACCTATGAGGGTGGCCACTGTTGCCCCGTTGGTAGAGGAGGAAGCAGAGACCCAGTGCCAGGTCCCATCCCAGCCACCCTTGATCTGAGCCAGCATTCTCACAACAGCCTGCCACTCCCTGTGGGAGCTCTCTGACCCTGAGGGAGGCATGCCTAAGGCCGTAGTCTGGGGTTCAGGGGGACACCAACGTCCCAGCTGAAGGAGAGCACCCTCCCAGGGTGAAGGGAATGTTGCCCGAGGCCGGCCTTTAGGAATGAAAGGATTTTGAAAGGACTGCCAGAGAGGCAGAGGCCCGAGCAAAGCTGGGAATGGGACTCAAGGGAGAGCCAGGAAGAAGGGTCGCCAGGGAGCAGCTTGGGGATGTGAAAGCCGCTCAGCCTTCTCTAGGAAACTGGAGGGTGTGCTTCCTGAGACCCAGTGACGTCCCTCCCGGGTTGCCCCCTGGAGAAACACCCTTGCACATTCCAGAACATTCAGAGCAGCAGGTTTGTAAACACAAAATGGACCAACAATGAAAGCCAAAGGCCCATTGGCAGGAAAAGGAATAAATAAAATGTGGTATTTCAAACAAATAAATACCACACAGCAACAAACCTGAAACTCACCCAAAAAGCAAGTGCCAGAAAAATACATGCAATGTAACACATACATGTTAATGTCAAAAACATGCAAACCAACCCAACATATTGTATAGAAGAACACATCTGTGTGCTAAAACCAGAAAGAAAAGCAAACAATAAACACAAAATTCAGGACGGACCCTTGTGAGGCAAAAAGTTGTGTCTGGGAGGGTGGTCCTGGTCATGTCTGCTCCCTCCCCAGATGGTGTGGATGGGGATGATTTATTTATTCTTAATGGTTCCTTAACCAGCTTTGTGGAGACTAATTGTATACACCATACACTTCACCTGTTGTAAAAGGGCAGTTCTGTTAAGTTTTGTATATTCAGAGTCATGCACACAGTTCTAGAACATTCCATTACCCCAGTCTGGTTCATGTCCACAGTCACCCACACACCCACCTCCAGACCAAGGCAACCCCCATCTGCTTTCCTTCTCTATAGTTCTTCTTTTACTGTTTATACCTTAGGAACGTGATCCAATTTTACACATATGATATATTCTTACATATCTTATTTTATCTTCTTTTATATGTATATATATATGTTTTGTTTTTTTAAAAAAGGACCAACCCACTTCAAACTTGAAACTGATTTTCCATGGGAAATTCTACTAGAAAACTAGACACTGAGACCAGAGATGATCAGGAAATCTTCCTCTGCCTCCCCCTGGGGCAGGGACCCTCCCCCAGAATTCACTGCGGCTTCTGAGCAGACACATTCCCTTGGGAGGTCCTTTGGCTCCTTATACACCTACTGTGAGCTGTGAGGCCATCTGTGAGCTGGAGCCCTCACCTACAGATGGAGGAACCAGAGCAGCGGGAAGCAGGGATTTGCTCAAGGCCACACAGTGGGTGCGGGTCAGATTCTGACCAGCAGTGTTGGGGCCCCTCCCAGCTGGACTAACACTGCCTCTCTGCCCCCTCTCTGCTCCCACCCTGGGTGGTGCAGGCCTCCGGAAGGTGATGGTGAGGGCCCATCGGCAGGCCTGGTGCTGGCAGGATGAGTGGTTTGGGCTGAGCATGGAGAACATCCGGGAGCTGGAGAAGGAGGCACAGCTCATGCTGTCCCGCAAGATGGCCCAGTTCAGCGAAGATGACGACGAGGCCTCAGAGCTGGACAAGGGCAAAGCCACCCAGGACCAGGCCCCCGGCGAGCCCCCCCAGCCCAGCAGCAGCGGCGGGGAGCCCCTGACTGGCCGGGGCCTGAAGAAGCAGTGGTCCACGTCCTCCAAGTCTTCACGGTCATCCAAGCGGGGAGGTGAGCCAGGCAGGTGTGGTCCCTCCTCTGTCCAAAGGGGTCCCCTGCCTGTATTTGTCCACCCCAGTGACAGCCCTCACCTCCTCCCGAAGAAAAGCGGGCTGCTGCTTTTGGACCATGTGGGCCACACCCTTAGGGAGTCACACCCACTCTCCTGCTCGCAGCCCTTAGCTGCAGTGAGGCCGCCCAGGGTGCCGCCTCCCACAGCAGGCCCTCCCAGACGTGCCTCCACAGCCCAAGTAGGAAAGACAGGCTGCCCGTGCGGGAACCCACTCCCAGCCTTTGTGCAGCCCAGTCGGCTGCAGCTCTGTGCGGCTGGATGAACTCCAAGCAGCACACACAGGAGGGGTCTCTGCTCCTGAGCCAGGAGTCGGGCTGAAAGAGCCCGAAAGAGTTAAGATCCTGAGAAAAGCCTTTCTCGGGGAACTTTTGTGAAAGTGCTGTGGCTATTTAAAACCAGGTAAAGCCACAAGTCCCCTCTGCAAATCCAGCTTATCTGGGATCCATGGAAATACATACATTCATACCTTTATTTTGCTCACTTCCCACCACTGCCCTCTGGTCCTTTCTGCTGGCTTTGCCACAGGGGAGTTTACAGAGCTCCTCCAGGGCAGACCCAGGCCTTTGTGACTGCACGTCCTGCCTGGGACATGACTTCATTGTCATGACCCAACCGGGTGGGCTGGGAGGGGACCATCTTAAAAGTTCCAGGGGCTTCTGCTGAGATGAGGCCTGGCCACTCCACCACTCATCACTTGCACTTCATCCTCCTCCAGCGGCCCTGCTCCTACATCCTTAACCTGCCTGCCTTCTGCTGGATCAGCAGGACTCTGGGCCCTGCCCCTTGGCGCAGGACAGCTGGGTGGTCAGTCAGTCTGGGGTTTTGCCTTCCAGCAAGTCCCTCCCGCCACAGCATCTCCGAGTGGAGGATGCAGAGTATCGCCCGGGACTCAGATGAGAGCTCGGATGATGAGTTCTTCGATGCTCACGGTAGGCGCGCTACTGGGGCTTCTGGGGACCCTTCCCAAGAGAGCTAAGGGAGAGGTTTAAGGGTTAGGTTGGGAAGATTAAAGTGGCAATTATCTATGGAAAGCTCTGGGTGAACAGCAGGGCGTGGTGGCTGGGGGCACAGGATGAGAGAAGTCACCAGGAATCTGGGGTCCCAGGCTTACCGTATGCATGTGCACTGGGCCTGGCAGGTGGGGACTATTCTCTCAACTCCCCTAAAAATGGATTTACAATCAGACAGGGACTTCCTTGCCTGTGAATTTATTTCCATAACAAACTTTACAAAAGCCTACATTTTATAATTTTATAATTTTTTTGTAATTACCTTATTTTTTTGTTGGTTAAATTAATACACACCTAACATAGAAACTTCAGAAAATGCAAACAAGCAGAAAATGTGTGAAGTGCCCATTTTCTCACTAATCCCAACATGAGCATAATGAGCATACAGCCTGATGAGTCACCCGTCTATGCTGGGAAGACGCAAGTACAAAATAGTTGCTTCCTTTGCACCTTGGCCTTTCCTCCCAAAGAAGCAGAGGGGCCAGCAGACAGGTCCGGGGAGATGGGTTTCCAGTTTGTAGTTTACAAGGCAGGACATAGGCTCAGAAAGGGACAGAGACTCGCTGACAGCACTCAGTAGGGCAGAGGCAGGGCTAGAGCCCTCTCATGACAACACCAAGGCTTGGAGAAGGCAGAAGAGCCACCTAATTATGGCATCTTAGTTAACTAGCTGACCCTCAAGGGAAAGAACTTGGTAGTCAAGTGTCCAAGCAAAAGGGAGGTACCTGGTTTGGCCCTGGGTTGGGGACCTGGAACAGGGACCTGAGCCAGCCTCTGCACCTGGGGCCTCCCTGAGGGTGGGGAGGGATCTTTTGGGCATCCCACAAACCCCCCTGCCCCCAACCAGGCCAAGAGGCTGAGCCCCTCCTGGCTCTTTGTCCCTGATATGAGGAAAATACACATCTGTAAATACACATAATGTAAAAGTTTTAGAAAAGGCTGGAGAAAGGAAGAGACAACAATGCAGATGCCAGAATGTTGGTGTCCTGGGGAAACTGGCCCACTGACCCACTGCATAGCTTAGAGGAGGGACTGGCACATGCCAGGGCCCAGACCACTGCCTCCAACCCAGTGGTCACAGGCGGAAGTCCTCAGAGAAGCAGAAACAAGAGTCATGTGTGAGAGTGTTCACAGCATGCCTCTCACTAAGCTGCATTTTTGTGGGTGCTGAAAATGGTCAGGAACAGGAGCTGATGAGTGGAGGAGCAAAATGTGGTCCATCCACACCATGGAATACGATTCAGGCATAGAAAGTAATGAATGGACATATTATACACCATGGCTGAACCCCAGAAATATGCTAAATGAAAGAAGCCAAATGCAAAAGAACACATACGGAATGATTCCATTTATGTGAAATACCCAGAATACGTAAATCCATAGAGACAGAAAGCAGACTCTTGGTGGCCAGGGACTAGGGGAGGGGAGAGAGGAGTGACTTCTAATGGGCATGTGCTTTCTACTTGGGGAGATGGAAATGTTCTGGAACCAGAGGTGATTGTTGAATAGCATTGTGAATGTGCTAAATGTTAATTTTAAATGGCCTAAATGGTGAATTTTATGTTATGTGAATGTTACCACAGTTGCTTAAAAAGGTGAGGCAGAAGCCCATGGGTGTGTAGCCATGTGTCTATCCCGTTAGGGAAGGGAGAGAGCAGACCCTGGTATGGAGCGGTGACAGGCCAGAGAAGCATGAGGGCTCCCATAATGGCCACTCCTAGGCCCCCACCTCTGGGAGCCAGGCCTCCCAGCTGCCCCCAGCTCCTGCCTTGGAGTGGAGTGCTGAAAGCTCCCTCTCCTCCCAGAGGACCTGTCCGATTCAGAGGAACCCTTCCCTGAGGACATCACCAAGTGGAACTCCAATGACCTCATGGACAAAATTGAAAGCCCTGAGCCAGAGGACACACAGGGTAACACTGGGAGGCTGCAGAGCCTGGGGAGGGTGGCTGCAGGGGCCAAGCCCCTCCTCTCTGGCTCAGCTCCTACCCAGTGCTGGGCCCCCAATGAGGTTGCAGAAATACCCAGGGTCACAGCTTCCGTCCAGGAAGCTGGGGCTGCCAGGTTGCCCCTCTGCTCACAGCACCCACCGCTTCTATGTTGCAGACAGTCTGTACCGCCAGAGCACCTCCGAGTTCAGGGTAGCCTCCAGTGTGGAGCAGCTGAACATCATTGAGGTGGGTGCCTGGGTGGCAGAGGGCCAGGGGCAGCCTGCAGGGCTGCTGGGAGAGGGCTGGGCGCTTAGGGCTGGCTGCTTGGGGGCTATGGAGACAGAACTTCACAACCACAGCCTCATGTCCACACTGGCCCTGGTGTCATTAGAGAGAGGCCTGGGCCCTCCTTTACTTGTCCGCACCCCACACCCCTGAGAGCCAGAAGGACCTGCAGACAGCCCCCAAGGAAGCTTGACCCAACTTCACCTGCAAGAAGTAAGATGAGAAACTTGTAAATTCCAGATCAAAAATAAGATCTTCACCTTATGCCCAGACTCTCTTCAGTACCTGAAGGAAAAAAGATGGAAGGGAAGGCCAAGAAAACCATCTAGGCAGAAGTGATGTGGTCAGTGGTCCCCCGCCCTGCTGGGGCAGGCAGAGCTCTGTGTCTAATAAAGCTGTCCTCGAGCACCTGTGTCCGCTTCGGCGGGGGGTGGGGGGGGGGTGGTGGGATTATTTGCAAGGAGCTCATGCTCCTTCTCCTCCACCTGCGGGCAGTCAGAGCTATTTGCATTGGCAGCGGGAGCCAGAACCAAACAGGGCTGCCATGTGCCACAGTCACCACACTGCTCTGGCCTCAGGCTGCCCAAGGTGGAGATGGCACCTCTGGGGACTTGGGACCCCTGGGGACTTGGGACTGGGGGTGGGGCTGCACCCACACTGCCCTCCCCTCCTTGCGGTTTTCTGCTTTGAGGTCTGAGGTTAAATTGGGCTTTTCTAGAAGGCAAACTGGGATGAGGGGAGTTTCCAAATTTCCAAATTTCTGGTTAATGATGAGCCCCCTCCTCACCTCCAGCTCTGACAGCCCCTGGGGAGGGGCACAAGGGGCCTCGGGCTCCAGATCTGCCTCTGGGGGTGCACATAGACCCAGCACCGATTCTGGAGTACAGCCATCCAAAGTGGGATCCCTGTCTTTGCAATAGCCCCCAAACCAGAGCCTCTATCCCAGCCTTGTGGAGGGGCAGCTTCATAGAGCTGCTGACGGGGACACCCTGGTTCTCCAGCTGGCCTCACCGCTCCCAGGCTGCATCACCCCACCTCCTGTGGGCTTTGTCACTGTGGGCTCGTGTCTCAGGCAGGGGGGTGTCCCTGTAGAAAGCAGGCTGAATAGGAAGAATGTTGTGTCTTAGACTGGCCTCTGTTGCAGTGGGGGAGGGGTGCCCCCAGAACAGCCCCCAGCCTCCAGTGCTGGGTCCCAGCAGACAGGCACAAGCAGGATTCTCTCAGCCTAGGTAACTAAGGGCCACTGGACCACCCCCTGCCCCCAGCCCAGGTGACCAGGAGGTTTCCCTAAGACAGTTCTTCCATGAGCTCCTTGCCTGGCTGTGTTGACTAGCCTGGGGGGCCATTTGGCAGTTCATGCTGGCCTGTGGTCTGGGAGATGGAGACCCCACCCTACCCTGGGCCATGAGTTCATTCCTGCCCAGGCCAGGGTGGTGGGCAGTCCTCATGCAGGGAGGCCCCCAAGCTCAGCTGGGCGTGCATTCCTGCCCAGACCCTGTGGCCCATGAGTGGCTGGTGACAGCCCCCTCTTCGAGATGAGGCAGCCCAGCCAAGCCTCTGCTGCAAGCCCAGTGGGGCCCACCAGCCTTCCCAAAACTCTCTGCTGCTCAGTAGCTCTGGACCTCGCCTGTTCCCTCATGTTCCTGTCAGCCTTGCCAGCCCCTGGGTCCACTACTGACACTGCCACTCCTTTCCTGGGCTCCACATTGACACTTGGATCCTGCTGCCACCCCTATCTCCCACCATCCCTGTGGCCCAGGTCAGCCAACTGCCCCCACATAGGGCCTCCAGGTGGCTTCAGCTGCTTGGTCTGTCTCCCCAGTTCCTTGGGGACAGGCTCCTCTCTTAAGCTCCCTTCCCCATTCCCCAACATAATATAGGCATGGCAAGTACTCAGAGTGGCCCATGTTCGGCCCTGGCCCAAGTGGTGACTCTCCCAGTCACCCACCAGAAAGTTCCCCATGATTTGGGGCCACAGCCTGGACTGGCAGAACACTGAGCTGGCAGCAGGAGCTCTGGGTTCTAGTCCGGCTTGGCATTATGTGACATTAGATGAATCCCTTGGCCTCTCTGGGCTACTACCACCTACACCTAAACAGAACGGTTCTGTCCCCCACATGGCCGTGTACAAATTTCAAGTCTCACTTTGACCTCATAAGCAGGCCTGACCAGCAGGAGATGGGGTCATTACCTCTCACAGAGACATGCCTTCATTCTCTGGGAATGCAGATGCTGGGACATCTCTGCCCTTGGGGACCTTGGCCTTGGAGTCCAGGAATGGAGGGCAGGGAAGGGGGCCCTGTATAAATGAGGAGAGCTCAGAGCTGCAGGCCAAGGGGCCAGGGTCACTGCCGCCCAGGCTAAGGCTGCCTTACACTCAGACACACAGTAGGCAAGCAGGCCCCAGATGCCCCTGCCTGGGCCCCTGATGGGAAGTGGAGTTTGTGCTTTCGGAGGATTAGACTCTGTTGCTCCCATTCCTTGGACCCTGGTCAGGCTGGCAGACAGCAGCAGGGCTGCCCATGGGGAGGACGAAAAGGACCATCTTGGCCTCCCCGGGGAGGGGGAGGCAGCCAACAACAGACTCCGTAGCTGAGGAACTGAAATTGGGGTTCTGAGACGGAGCAGCCGGGCAATGACAGGCCTCCCCGCTGATGGGCTTCAGCATGGAGCCGAGTCCTGGGGAGTTGATCCCAGCTCTGCCCATGCAGGACGAGGTCAGCCCCCCGCTGGCCGGGTCACCCACCAAGATCCACGTACTGCTGTTGGTGCTTCACGGAGGCACTGTCCTGGACGCGGGTACTGGGGACCCCAGCTCCAAGCAGGGCGACGCCAACACCATTGCCACCGTGTTCGACACTGTCATGCGCGTGCACTACCCCAGCGCCTTGGGCCGCCTCGCCATCCGCCTGGTGCCGTGCCCGCCTGTCTGCTCTGACGCCTTCGCCCTCATCTCCAAGTGAGTGTGCAGGCTGCTGCCACCGGCCCCTGGTCCTGAAGGTTGGGCGCCTCCCCCACCATCTGGACCCCTGTCTGAGTATCCAGACCTGCCGTCCAGCCTGTTCTGCTCGGAGATGGCTGAGCTCAGAGTCTGGATGAGGCTGGGGCCCGAGGCTGAGTGTCAGTTTCCACATCTGTGATGTGGGGATGCTGACCCACCTCCGACTTACTGGGCCTTACTCCCTGGCCCTGTTTCCCTCTCCTGGCCTGGAAGCGTCCCCATGGGCTTTGCTGAGTCATGGCTGAGGCTCTCTGGGTGGCAGGCAGCTCCTGACCTGCTGCTCGGATCAGGGCAGAGGGCCCCATTAGGCTGAGCTGAGGCACTTGTTCTCTCCTGACCGGCCCCCCTCCCCCAGCCTCAGCCCCTACAGCCATGACGAAGGCTGTCTGTCCAGCAGCCAGGACCACATTCCCCTGGCCGCCCTGCCCCTGCTGGCCACCTCCTCCCCCCAGTACCAGGAGGCGGTTGCCACGGTGATTCAGCGGGCCAACCTTGCCTATGGGGACTTCATCAAGTCCCAGGAAGGCATGACCTTCAATGGGCAGGTAAGTCATGGGGTAGAAGAAGGGAAAACAGAAGCCCTGCAAGGGCAGGCTGGCCTGTTCCTCCAGCCCAGGGCAGGGGTGATGGCCCTCCCCAGCTGGGGTCTGGCAAGCAGGGCAGGCACTCAGGCCTCAGGGCCTCTCCCCCTCCAGATCTGCCTAATCGGGGACTGCGTCGGGGGTATCCTGGCATTTGATGCCTTATGCTACAGCAACCAGCCTGTGTCTGAGAGTCAGAGCAGCAGCCGCCGGGGCAGCGTGGCCAGCGTGCAGGTACCAGTTTCGCACGGCCCCTGGAGCAGGGGACCTCCAGGATGGGAACTATGTCACCCTTTGGGCCCACACATCCCAGGTCTGCAATAAAAGCAAGGGAAGGGCAGAGCTTGCAAGGGCAGGTGCCCAGAGGTAGCAGGGCAGATAATGCATGGGGTGATGACTAGCTTCAGCAGGGCTGGGCCTATGAGTGCATGTGGCTGCAGCAAGCAACAAAGCAGGGCCTACAACATGGGGAGTGGGTTCTGGTCCTAGGAGGTGTGGTGGGCAGACCGTCTGAGCTTCCCAGCAGGGGAGAGGATCCCAGTTCCCTCTGCAGAGTGGCACACAGCCTGGGTGGGCCAGGCAAGGCAGCAAGATCAGTGGGATATCACCAAAGTCAGTCCAGGCCAGAAATAAAGACTGTTAAGACTTGGCCAGTGGGCTAGGGGGACAGCAGGGACACAGTGGGGACAAGGCCTTTCCCTCTCTCGAGAGGCCGGCTGGTCAGTGGCCAGTGCGCCTGGAGTCAGGGGGAGGACACTGCTTCCAGGACACTGACAAGAGGCCCAGACCTTTGGCCACTAGGCAGTGAGCCTATGTGGGATTGTTCCAGGACACTGACCTGCTGTCCCCTGGCGTCCTGGCCAATGCGGGGCATGGCAACAGTGGCAGTGGTGGCAGCTTGGAGAGCAGTCGGCACCTGAGCCGCAGCAACATTGACATCCCCCGAAGCAATGGCACTGAGGACCCCAAAAAGCAGCTCCCCCGCAAGAGGAGCGACTCATCCACCTATGAGATGGATACCATCCAGCAGCACCAGGCCTTCCTGTCTAGGTGGGTAGGGCCAGCAGGGCCTGGGGGTCAGACTTTCATCAGACCACTGCCAGGTAGGATGGAGACTCCAAGAGTGAGGGACCCAGAATTGAGGATGTAAATCAGGTTGCATGGATGGCCGTGAAGGTCTTAGAGACCCCCTGTGCACTGCTGGGACACCCGGACTGGGCCCACAGCCCTTCAGCTGGAAGAACATGGCTTAATGGGTATGGTCGTGGTCCTGTACACACCAGGGCCATCTTGAGCCAGAGAGAACAGATGTCCGAGTTGGGGGTTAGATGGCAGTGGTGGGGCAGGGCTGCCCCAAAGGCAGTGGGCTCCCTAGAGAGGCTGGGACCAGCTATCATCAGAGATGTCCCAGCAGGAGCTAGACAGCTGCATCTGCAGGATAACATAGGGGTCATACCTTATTTGTACCTGATGACCCCTGAGGGGCCTCCTTTGGGAGGCTAAGGGTAGGCTAGCCCCAAGAAGGGCCATGGTGTGACCTGCAGTATCTCCCATCTGCAGCCTTCATGCCAGCGTGCTGAAGAATGAGCCTAGTCCCCGCCGCTCAAGCAGCTCCACCATGCTGGATGGCACAGGGGCCCTGGGCAAGTTTGACTTTGAGATCGCTGACCTCTTCCTCTTTGGGTGCCCGCTGGGGCTGGTCCTGGCCTTGAGGAAGACTGTCATCCCCACCCTGGATGGTGAGGGCCTGGAGGGGTGGGCAGGATGGGGTACATAAGTGGGACAGAGGGTCTCAGTGGACCCCTATCACAAGGCCATCGCCACATCCCAGGCCCTTCCTGCATCAGCCTCATTTCTACACTCCCCACCAAGAGCCCACTGCTTTCCTCATTGCTTCAGCAGCTTGGTTTCTGGCCCTCAGCCATAACAACTGCTGCTAATGGGGACAGATGGGGACAGACCCATAAGGAAGACTTTTGAAGCCAGGCACCCTTAGTGCCTCCTAGTTCAGTGGCCTACCAGCCCCGCAGAAGCCACAGCTACACTGCTCCAGGGACCCTCCTCACTGCTGTACAGACAGGGAGGCAAGACATACAGGCCAGCCCTCTGGGTCAGCCAGTGTGGCCCAGGGAGCCCTACCACCATCACAGAAGCTGTGCCGGGCCCATGTTACATCCCCAAGTTACAGATGGGGAAACTGAGTCTCGGAGGGGTATAGGCACTTGCCCAAGAGCAAGTAAGCAGTGGGGTACATATAAACGTACAAAGATGTAGGGACAGTGATGTTACGGCAATGCTGTCTGTAATCATGGGAAACCAGAAACAACTTAAATATCTGTCCCTTGGGCAGGGGGCTGGCTAAATACATCCGGCACATCCATAGTGGAATACCCGCCACAGTTAAAGAAGAGTGGGTGGGACTAAGTGCTGATATGAAGGCCTCCAACATTTTTGTGTTAAATGAAACAAAAAAGCACAATTCATATAGGATAGCATTTGTTCCTATTTGTGTGTGTTCTTAAAAGTGGGATATATGCTACTGGTGGTTTGTACTTACAGTCACATGGTCTTCCTAAGACCTATGGAGGAGCTGGACTAGCAGCTGCATCCCAGAGCCCAGGTGGGCAGCCCCACCGCCAGGCCCCAGAAGGTGCCCGTGAGGCTCCAGCCTCAGGACTTTCAGCCTCCCTTTACATCTCTTATCATATACTCTTCTGTACTTAAATGTTTTTTACCATGGTCATTTTAACTTTTTCAAAATCAAAAACAAAACTGTAGTTAATTGACAGTGGGCCAAACAGATCCCAAATTGATAAGAGACATGCTTTAGGGTTTTTCCTTATCTGAGCCCCCCGAGCCCCCTCAACCCTTGCCAAGCCTGTTCTGGGTGCTTCCTCCTCGGGTGGCGCTAGCTCCAGGTTCTGCAGCAGCCCCTCGCCCCGCAGTTTTCCAGCTGCGGCCTGCCTGCCAGCAAGTCTACAACCTCTTCCACCCTGCGGACCCATCGGCATCACGCCTGGAGCCACTGCTGGAGCGGCGATTCCACACCCTGCCGCCTTTCAGCATCCCGCGCTACCAGCGCTACCCGCTGGGGGACGGCTGCTCTACGCTGCTGGGTGAGCCCCCAGCCAGCTGCCCCAGAGGGTGGGAGCTGGCACTCCAGTGCCACGTGGCTCAGGAGCTGGGTCCCTAGGCAGGTGCAGGCTCATCAGTCTTGTGGATCCCAGCAAGGTATCAGTGACCCCACGGCGCCACATCAGGGTTTCACCCCATGCCCTCCAGTTGCCTGGCCGGCAAAGCTGCGCCCCAAGGGTGTGGCGGCCCGCCGAGTTGGGACAAAGGTTGGGGGGTGCTGCGCAGGCCTGCATGTGTGAGGCTGCCCATCGTCTGTTCTCAGTAACCCCCAACTCCCTATCCCACCTCCCACGTGTGTCCCCATGTCCCGTCACGTCCTGTCACATCCGGTCCTTGATGAGCCCTGAGTGTCTGTGTTGGAGTGTGTCCGCACAGCCCACATGAGTGTCTGTTCTTGTCCTTTCTGTTCTCTCCCCGTCTGCCTCCAGTTGAGACCGTGCAGAGAAACCCCGAGCTGGTCCTGGAGGGTGGCCCCCTGGCCCCTCTCCCGCCCGGGGATGGCTTCCTGGAAACCAGTATCTTGGTGCCCGCGCTCACCTGGCAAGATGGGCCTCGCCCGAGCCCAGGCCGTGCTGAGTGTGTGTACTCCCCCTGCCTGTGGTGGTGTCTGCTTCACTGGCTGACGGCTGGTCCTCAGACGGCATGCCCTCCCGGGCCGCTCAGACTTTGTGGGACTGTGATGGCGAGGAGCAGAGGGACCCGGCAGGATGGGCCCTGAGAGGCAGGCCTTGGTGCCTCCCCTCTGCACACTGGGGCAGAGCCAGGAGGGGGCACAAGCCAGTGGGGCTAAGAGGCCCAGAGGGCGGAGGGGCTGTCCCAGGGTGACCCAGCACAGGTGTCAGTCCAAGAGCTCTGTCCCCCATTTGTGAGGCTGGTGGGGACAGCCAGGCCCCCTGGGACACACCTGCTCCCTCAGGAAAAGCCTTTGCTCTCAGAGAGGGTTGGATTCTCAGGGGCTCTGAGAGGTCTAGGCACCTCCTGCAGCTACTGTAGACGGGGGTCCTCTAGCCAAGTCCCATTCTCCCTGCTCTGTGCTGCCCTCAACCTGGGCCCAGGTGGACCTCGCTCAAGCCCTGAGCTCCTGCCTTTGGGAGACACCCATTTGGGGCTGGTTCCATGTGGCCTGTGTGAGGAATGGCACAGGGGGCATTGCCTCTCTCTCTATCCTCAGCGTCAGGCACCCCGAGCAAGCCACCCCAGGCCCTTATTATTAGCACCCCTCAAAGCTAGCCACTGTGGTCTGTGGGTCAGGCTAAGAAGGCTGGACTAGGTCAGGAGACATGTGTTGGGCACAGAGGGTGGCTGAGGGAGGGCATGGGGGACAGGGCATGGCCTTCTTGCCTCCCTGCCCTCTGTCTATGTCGGCCTACTTGTGCACACCTGCCCTGCCCTCCCTTCTCCTGCCTCAGCCCTGCACCCTGCCCTCTCGGCCCCAAGCAGGCAGGCCCTGGCATGCTTGGGCCTGTTCTCACTGCCAGCTGTGCTCAGATGCCACTGCTCATCTGCAGCTAGAGGTGTCAGCAGTGCCTGGCACAGCCTGCGCCAACCCAGGCGCACACTGGGCCCTCCCACCCACTGCTCGGGGCCGGGGACCAGGCTGGGTAGGGCCTTCCTTACCCCTGGGTCTCTGTCTACCTATAGCTGATGCACTCCAGACCCACAACACAGTCTTTCAAGAGCACGCAGCCCCCTCCTCGCCCAGCACAGCCCCGACCACCCGAGGTTTCCGCCGAGCCAGTGAGATCAGCATCGCCAGCCAGGTGTCGGGCATGGCTGAGAGCTACACAGCATCCGGCATTGCCCAAAGTGAGTGCGGCAGTGCTGGACCACAGCCGGGGGGTATGCCTTGTCACAGCTGGTCTCAGCTAGGCCACTGTGCCCCCAGGAGACAGCTGGCAGAGTCTGGAGACAGCCGGGGAGGGCACTACTGGCATCTGGGGATAGAGAGCAGGGCGACTTAAAAGGACTCTGGAGAGAAAGGGCCAAGTCCAGACGGTACAGGTGGCCAGAGCTGGACAGGCTCCAGGGGGCCAAGGGGAGCCAGGAAGGCGAGGTCTCACTGCGGCCACACTGCCCAGTCTTCCTGCCGCCTCTCCATGGCCTCCTTCACTACTTGGCTCCTGCCCATCTTAGAAGTTTCTCAGCATCTAGAAGCAGAGTCCAGGTCATCCCCTCTCACTCCCCAGAGCTGGCTGCCCCCCACCATCCTTGACCAGTTTTCAGGCTGCCTGTCAGAGTGGGGGCCCTGGGGCTAAGGCTGGTATGGGTGCCCTCCTCCGAGGATGATCAAGAGGGCCTGGCACTCTTCCCAGTGTCCTTCCTGGCCTGTGGTGGCAGCATGGTAGCCCCAGTGTGGCTGACCCCTTCCCTGTTCTTGCTTCTCAGAGGACCCAGTGTCGCTCAGCTACACCCCCAGCATCAGGCGCCTGTCCCTGCTCGCCCTGCCCTCCCCACCCCCCACCACCCTGGGCCCCTGCTCACAGGCCAGGCGGGTGAGCCCCAGCCTGGAGAGGGCCCCCCACCTCCCCGACTTGGACATCCGAGAAGGTACCGGGCATCGCATACCTCCGCTCACACACACTGTCCTCCTTTAACTGGGATCACTCAGTTTCCAGGCACATTTCACTGCCAGGCCTTGCCCACCAGGGCCCTGCTGAGGCCTAACCAGGGAGCTAGAGGCTTGGGTTGGGGGCATTCACATCCGGGGAAGAGGCAGGAGTGGTTGGAGTTGGCTGGGCAGAGGGAGGACCCCACAGAGCTGAAATAGGTACAGCGAGGCCCAAAGGATGGCCTGTCTGGCAGGCCACAGGCCAACTGCAAGACTAAGCCACGGCCAGGCAGCACTTACTGAGAGCTCCTGAGGGCAGCCACCAAGGAGGCACTCTGTAAGCTTTACCTGGAACTAGGGCCATCCCCCAGCCCCAGGCGTGAGCTGGGATTCACACCGGCGCCCTCTGACTTGAGGCCGGACCGCACCCTTGGGGCTCAGGGATTGTAGCTCCCCCTGTGCAAAGCCTTCCGCAGGCTGGAAGCCTGCAGGGCAGACAGGGAGGAGAGGCCCAAAGAGGGCAGCAATGGGGTCCAGGGAGGAGTTGTCAGCATCGGAGGGAGGATCTGGGACAGTGAGTCCAGCCTCCAAACGGGGCTTGTCCCTCTGCCCCGACTCCACGTGCTCCTGGCGGACTGCACACTCACCCCCTCGGGCATGCCAGCTGCTTGCATGCTGTCCTGGCATCCTTGCTCCCCTCTGTTGCCCAGCCTGGAAGAAGACTTGCTTTGGCTGCAGCCCTTTTCCCTGGTCAGAGGAGGGTCTCATCTTTGGGCTGAACCAGGCCTGAGGGGTCAGGTGACCATCCCGGGTCCAGTCCAGTCACAGCCCCTCCTCTTGGCAGTTGCTGCAAAGTGGTGGGGCCAGAAGCGGATTGACTACGCCCTGTACTGCCCTGATGCCCTGACAGCCTTCCCCACCGTGGCCCTGCCCCACCTCTTCCATGCCAGCTACTGGGAGTCAACAGATGTGGTCTCCTTCCTGCTGAGACAGGTGCCCCAGGGTCCCACTGCCAGGCACACTGGGCCTCACGGGAGGGCCTTGAGTGACACCGCCACTGACATGGTCCCATTTTATAGATGAGGAAGATGGTGGGGGACCCTACCTTCTGACCCCCATTAGACCACAGAGCAAGCAAGATGAAGGGACCCTTGGGGAGGGGGTGAGCATATTTGCACATTTGTGGGACAGAGTAGGAGGGTGGAATAGTGTCCCCCAAACCCTCACAGGTTCCTTTTTCCAGCTCCTTAGGCTGCTTGTCTCTTCCTCCTAGAACAGGAGGCCCCATGGCCTGCTTGTGTCCCCCTCCAGGTCATGAGGCATGACAATTCCAGCATCTTAGAGCTGGACGGTAAGGAGGTCTCGGTGTTCACCCCTTCCAAGCCAAGAGAGAAGTGGCAGCGCAGAAGGACCCATGTGAAGCTGCGGGTGAGGGTCCTCTGAGTGCCCAGGCCCCTTGGCATCTGTCCTGTTGAGTCACAAGAGGACCCCATCACAGATGAGGAAACTGAGTAGCAGAGAAGTGCGCTGTCTTACTTAAACTTCACAGTCTGCGAGGTTGGAGCTCTTACCCCATTTACAGGCGGGCAAGTGCACCCCCAGGCCGGAGCAACTGAGCTGGACTTGAACCTGGCTAACTGGCTTTAAGGCCATGCTCACTCAGGGCCATGAGAGGCTTGAGCTGAGCCCAGGGGACCCCAGATGCCCCTCTATCCCCCACCCTGACTCAGCCTTGTCTTTTCTCCCCCAGAATGTGACGGCCAACCACCGCATCAATGACTCAGTTGCCAATGAGGATGGCCCACAGGTTCTAACAGGCCGGTTCATGTACGGGCCCCTGGACATGGTCACCCTGACTGGGGAGAAGGTAAGGACCCGGGGAAACTACAGGGCCCCTGCCTCACCTCCCTCTGGCTGGGGAGTGGGAATGGGAAGGCCAGGGGATGGCCAGCTCATGACCAGCCTGCCCGGGCTCCCAGGTGGATGTGCACATCATGGCGCAGCCGCCCTCGGGGGAGTGGCTGCACCTGGACACACTGGTGACCAACAGCAGTGGGCGTGTCTCCTACACCATCCCTGAGACTCACCGCCTGGGCGTGGGTGTCTACCCCGTCAAGATGGTAGTCAGGTATGCAGCTCTGAGCAGTGAGCAGGCCCGGGGCCACTGCCTCTGGGGCAGGAGGGAGGGCTCAGGTGGGTTCTGATGAGCTGCCCCTCCCCCCCCCAGGGGAGACCACACATTTGCTGACAGCTACATCACCGTGCTGCCCAAGGGCACGGAGTTTGTGGTCTTCAGTATCGATGGCTCCTTTGCTGCCAGCGTGTCCATCATGGGCAGTGACCCCAAAGTGCGGGCTGGGGCCGTGGATGTGGTGCGGTGAGTGGTCCATGGGGCACAGTGGGCAGCTCAGCATCAGGAGGCTCCTGGAGGCCGGGCAGGAGAGGGCCTTGGGTGCCAGAGCAGGGGATATTCGGCAGCAACCCTGGGGCTTGAGGAGTCAGCCCAGCCACTCACCAGCTGTGTGGCCCCTTGATGTTGATGCCTCAGTTCCCTCATCTGGGAAATGGGGCTGCTAACAAGACCAGTCACACCTGCTTCAGAGGCATCTCTGGAAACCGTGTGACCTAGGCCATGGGTTGTCATTGTGGTTGCTACTATTACTGTTGGAGGCTGATGAGATACGCACTTTTCAATGACCCAAGAGGGGATGGGCTGGGCAAGGAGACAGGGAGGCCCAGGAGGGAGGATGGGGTGGGGTGGCTGTGGGACACCTAGGCCTGCCCCTCACCCCCAGGCACTGGCAGGACCTGGGCTACCTCATCATCTATGTGACGGGCCGGCCTGACATGCAGAAGCAGCGGGTGGTGGCATGGCTGGCCCAGCACAACTTCCCCCATGGCGTGGTGTCCTTCTGTGATGGCCTGGTGCACGACCCGCTCCGGCACAAAGCCAACTTCCTGAAGCTACTCATCTCTGAGGTGCGTCATGGGGGACAGGGACCGGGGTGGGATGGGAGCAGGAGGGCCATGCCTATACCCATGCCAGTCTCACCCACAGCTGCACTTGCGCGTGCACGCAGCCTATGGCTCCACCAAGGACGTGGCGGTCTACAGCTCCATCAGTCTGTCCCCCATGCAGATCTACATTGTGGGCCGGCCCACCAAGAAACTGCAGCAGCAGTGTCAGGTGCGTGGGCAAACCGGGGCGGGCAGCACAGGCAGGCAACCTGGGAGCCCACCCTGTGACAGCTGGCCTCCCTCTGCCCCTCCCCTGCAGTTCATCACGGACGGCTATGCGGCCCACCTGGCCCAGCTCAAGTATAACCACCGGGCACGGCCAGCCCGCAACACGGCCACACGCATGGCACTGCGAAAAGGCAGCTTTGGCCTGCCTGGCCAGGGCGACTTCCTGCGCTCCCGGAACCACCTGCTCCGCACCATCTCGGCCCAGCCCAGCGGGCCCAGCCACCGGCATGAGCGGGCGCAGAGCCAAGCAGATGGCGAGCAGTGGGGACAACGCAGCATGAGCATGGCAGCCAGCTGCTGGGGCCGTACCACAGCCGGCCGGCTTGAGCCGGGGGCAGCCACAGGTCCTAAGTAGGGCACTGTTAGTGAGCCGCTGTGGTCTCCATGGTGCTAGGCCAGGATGGCCAGCCCCGCCAGGAGGCCTGGCCTGGGCACACACAGTCAGCTGGGAGTGAACTTGTCCTAGGGCCCAACAGAGGACACTGGGCCATGCCACACAGCCCTCCAAGCCCTGCCTCATGTCTTAGGGTCCGAGGGGTTCCAGCTTGTCATGTGCTGGGATGACGGAGGGACCAGGACTCTGCATGTGGACTGGCCGAGAAGGCACTCCAGACATCCGCCCTACATTGACTGCCCAGCATCCTGATGCTAGGCCTGGCTCCAGGCCCACCTCCAATCCACTAACTCACCCTGACTCCCAGTCCCCTCCCCTTTGGTAGCAGCTCCAACGGAGGGACAGCCTGCTTTTTGTTAACTCGAGTTACTCAACTGTTTAGCCTCACTGGTTTTTGCACTGATTTTTGAGAGTGGAGACCCATTCCCATCTCCTGTGGCTAGAGACTCGATGGCATGCATGACAGTTCATTTGGCTGATCCAGGACCTGTTGCCACATATAAGGCTCCAGGGCGGCAAACCTTTGTGTGGGCAGGAAAGGCCTATCTTGATTTCTGCAGCTCTGCCTGGCCTGACAGTGCTGCGGCAGCCTCGGACCCCTGCCCACCGGGCCACCCAACCCTCCTGGATCCCAGTAGGGCCTTGGGCCTGGTGTCACCTCTGGCACTGGACACAGCCTAGATGACAAGGCTGATGAAGGCCAGAGCTGTCTCCCGAGAAGCCCTGCCTCTGGCCTGGAAAAGCCTGGCCTCCTCTTCTGCTCCTCGCCTGCCACCAGTCAAGGCCCCATGCCTCGGCCTTCCCATGTTTCTACACCTTTCTACTTCTCCAGTCTGATTTCTATGAGGTTTTTTTAATGAGCAATCCTTGGCTGCTTCCTTTTCTTAACTCTTTCAGTATGAAGTGCAGCCCCTCCACATGAAAACACCCAGCACTGTGATGGAGTCCAGCCTGGTTCTGGGTCCCGGAGCCATGCCCCCTGCCTCACCTGATCCCTGTTAATTCCACTGAATTTCTACTCTGGGGTGAGTGGGGTGCACATTTAGGTTTTTTTAATGCCAGTTCCGTTTAGATGCTGAATCCAAGAAGCCACAACTCCCTTCCTTAGCGTGTGGGCAGGCAGCCATGACTTCATTTCCCACCTGGTAAGGACCGTGCTGTCCTGCATGCTGGGTCTGAGCATCAGCCCTCCCTCCCCAGAACTGACCGTGGTCTCAGCTGTGGCACTCAGCTCCAGGCCAGCCCCTCTGCTGCTCTTCTACCCTCTCCAAGACTGGGGAGCCTCTCTAGCCTCAGCCAACTGTCCAGCAACCAGGCTCTGCCTCTGAGAAGCTGCTGCCAACCTGGATATGGCCTCAGGGCCTTATGGGCTGGGATAGGGAGGCACACAGGTTGATGTTAACATTTTCCCATGTGTAGATATGTACAGCCAAAGGGTCGTGTAAATGTTCTGCAAACATGGGTCTATACAGACTGAAAGCTATTTATTTTGTGCAGAGAAAAAATGTCTGGAGGGATAGGACCTTCAGGGTTTATTCATATTTAAGATGTAGCTTTTTGTTATGTATAAAGCAATGATTATTTTATGGACCAAGTTTTAATGTAACTGTTGCAGTGAAAGTGCAATATCTGACCCCCTCTGCTCCCCAGCGGGAAGTTGCTCGGCCTGACAATCACAGCCCCAGTGAGGGGCCCGTGGCCAGTGCCTCCTTCTCTATTGGTCCCATCTCACCCTGTCTTGCCTACCACCTCGGTGACCAGCCATCCAGAGAAGCACCTGGAAGAGTCTTGGACCTGCCTGCAATAAAGCCCGGGAGGCCTCCTGGCTCGGGAAGGCCGCGAGGGCAGTGGGCTCGGCCTCTCTCAGCGGGTGGCTCCCCAACGGCTCTGTGCTCCCCACCTGCCTGCCCAGCCGCCAGCCATGCCAAGGACAACAGCAATAGTCCCCTGGGCCTCTCCCAGTGGCCCTCAGCCATAGATGGTGAGACGGGCAACCCACCCACCCACCCACTGACGTCTCTTCCATATCCAGGTCTGCTTCCTGCCTCCTCTAAGATTCTTTTTGGCACATTCTCCTCTTAAGGAAGCACCAGTTTTCATAAACTAAGAAAGGGAGGGAGGACAGAGTCCTTTAAAAATACCAAAAATGTTTACAGTGTTGGGTGCTGAGCTACAGGGCTCAGGCCTGACCAGTCTTTAACCAAAGGGTGAGGCAGGCCTTGCTGACTGCCACCCCAACCCAGGCCTGTTAGAGTAGAAGCCTTAGTCCCACTCCCACCCCCACACCCCAGGCGTGAGCCTCAGCCCACCACCTCCAGATCCAACTACCTGCCTTCTCTTTGATTTCTAATGAGGGATTTAGCAGAAACCCCATTCCCCTTTCCCAGCTCAGTCTGAGCTGCCTGCCTGCTCATCAACCATATCACAGTCTTCACGTCTCCACGCCCTCCTGTCCGTCTGTCTGGGCCACATGTGAGCACTGTCCTGACTCGCCCTGCCCCCTCTTGCTGTCCCTGCACCATTGGGCCTGAGTGTGCTCTGTATACAGTGTCATTGTCTGTTACACCAATTAAAGAAGCAGGAAGGCTTCCTTCTGGGTCTCTTTACTGCACGGGCAACCAGAGCATCAGGTGGTGGTGGGGGCCTGGGATGGGGCACAACCTGACCTGGAGCTAAAGGTGTGGTGGGAGAGGCCATCTTCCTAGTAAACACCACCAGCTACACTCACAGTAATACTGACACACTCACACAGGCCTTACCCTCTGCTCAGCCTCCTTCTAGCCCCTTCCCAGGCATGAACTCAGTTCATTCCTTACAGCTCCCCAATGAGGCAGCGGCTGTCAGCCTCTCTGCTTCACAGAGGACACAGCTAGTAAGCTGGTACCCAACCCACTTGGCTCCAGCACCAGGATTCTCAACCATTGTCATCCGCAGAGTAAACACAGCAAGGGAAGCAGTCTCCCTCCAAGCCTGAGGGAATTGGCTTAAAAAGCCAAGTCTCTGGGTTTGGGGTCGGGGTCTGGTCCAGGCAGGCTGATCTGAGGATGAGTAGGACAAAGGTGGCTGGTGTAGCCTGTGCTCATGATCACCAGGGCACATGCCAGCTTTTCCCCAAAGTTCCTGGAGCCCTTCTTTTTTCCTCTGGAAGTTGAGGAGCACCCTCCCCTTCCCCTCAGCACAAAAAGCAACAGAACAGAAGCAGTCTCCAACCAGGAAACATTTAATATTTGGGAAGTTAGACTGAGGAGATGAGGCAACTGATTAGGCCAGTGACCCTGTCCACCACCTGGGTCTTAGAGAAAGCTCAACTAGGGGCCAGTCCACAGGAGAGCAGGCAAACAGCGCTGGTCAGGTTTCCTGCTGCCCACCCTATGCCAGCCTGCAACTGTGCCACCACCACTGTCTTTAGGCCTTGGCTAGCAAGGCCCTCAGGGCCGCAGCCCAGCTCGCATCTGGAAGGTCAGGCCATCCCCTCGGGTGGCTTGCTGGGGAAGAAAGCACACGGGAAGGGACACATCACAAACAGAAATGGGGGTGGATCCCAGGCAAAGGGGCGACAACCAACCTTGTTGATCTCTCTGTGTCGTTCCTTGGTGACAATTTCCTCTAAGATCTCGCCATCTCCCTTAATGAGCCTGGGGAGGAGGGGAGAGAAGGCAGAGCCTCTGATTCCAGAAGCACCAGCAGAGGACTGCCAGGCCTCAGGCCCGTACCACCTAGAGCAGGCAAAGCCCGGGTGCTCCCACCCCTCCCTCTCTCCCATCCTTGGGACCCTCCTCAAGGCCCTTCCAGCCCCTGCATTCCTTGTTCTGGGCAATGGTGAGGAATAGCCTGAGAAATCCTATCAAGTACCCCTTTTCTCCCTGTCTTGGCCTCTTCAGAACAATAGCCACTGGCCCTCCTTCCAGAGTGCACAGCATGTGGGGCTAGGTTTTGTGCAGCATGCCCCACCTGGTGCGTCCTGTCTCCGGGTCCACCACCTTGCGGATGACACTCTGCCGGGCATCCCACTCCTCCTTGGTCATGGGCTTCATGGCCTGGATGCGGGACTTCTGTTCATCCGTCAACACTGGAAGGGGAGATGGCAGGGAGGTAGTGGCTGGGCCTCAGGAAGGAGACCCTCCCAGGCTTACGCACCAGGCTGCACAGTACCTGGGCCATCCTCTTCCTCCTGGGCTGATCTGTGCCACTGGTCCAGTGAAGGTCCAGGCAGAGCCTCAGCCTGCTGCACCTTTGCCTTTTCCTTGCCTTTCTTCTTCAGCTTCTTCTTCTTCTTCTTCTTTTTCTTCCTCTTTTTGTCCTTCTGCTTCCCCCGCTTCTTCCGGCCATCGCTGGAGGAAGAGGAGGAGGAGGAGGAGGAAGAAGAGCTAGAAGAACTGGAAGAAGAGGAGGAGGAGCTGGATCGTGGTCTCCTCCGGGCCTTGTGCTTGCTTCTCTCTGTGATGCAGGGAGAAGGTGAGGCTGGAGGGCCAGGAGGGGATGAAGTAAACCTTTATCTCCCTACTCTGGCCTGTGGCAGGCTCAGGTGGACTACAGAGGGGCGACCCCCCCCTGGCAGGGCTTTCCAGAGCAGGGATCAGCACCCTCTGAGAGGCACCGTCTGGGTTCTACGCAGCCACTGTCAGCCTAGGAGCAGGGCAGCCAGCGCCCACATCTCAGATCCAGCTGCACAGAGAGGATGATAAAGTGCTCCCTTCAATCCATATATAACAGGCCAGCCCAGCCTGGATTCTGCGGGTCTTTCAATCCAGATATCCAGGTTCTACCTTGCGCAGCCTTCTATAGTTCACTGCGGTTTCCCCACAGTTCCCAAAGGCCTGACCAGCTGCCTGCAGCTCCTCTATGAAGTTCTTGCACCCCCTTCCCATTGTCATTGCTCCTCACCCTCTGCCCCGGAGGAGGTGGTGCTGGCCTTCCGGCCCTGGGATGTGGAAGCTGAGCAGCTCCTCGGGGCATCCTTACTGCTCCTCTTTCTCTTTCCTAAGCATCGTCCCCGGGACCGGCTGCGACTCCTTGATCGCTTGCGAGAGCCGATGTGAGCCATAGCTCCGCCGGCTGGAGAGAGGGAGACACGCTCAACCTGCGGTTCTCAGGGCCGACCCGCCTGAGCTCCAAGGGCGGCTGTACTCGGGGCATGGTACTAGAGGGCCCAGTACCCATCACCTCCCAGAACAGGGTAAGAGGGGTTCGCGACAATCGCACGATTCTCACCCACCCCCACCCGTGGGGCCTAAAGTTCTCCACCGACTCCGGGATCCTGAGTTGCTGCCCCTTTAAGGGCCCGCCCCAGCCCGGACGTTCCACGCCTGCGCACGCCATCCAGGCGCCCCATAGGAATGCCCGGGGTCCTAAGCTGTCAGGTGAGTTCTGAATCCCTTCCTGGGGGCTCCTACCCTCCACCCCCGCTCTCTCTGCTGCCTCGCCGCCTTAAAGAAGGTCCTCGCGGCTGTTCCGTTCCCTTTTTAGTCGCCCGTCGGGCCAGACCTCCCGCCTCGCACCACGCGTTCGCGTGAGGAAGCGGTGGCGAGGTGACTTCCGGCCCGGGACGGTGTTCAGAGAGGATGTCCGGCTGGAAGCGAGGCGTTGTAGCCTTTAGTCCTGAAGCACCAGGTACCGTCTGAGAGGCAGCCCAAGAAACCAAATCTGGCGAGTCCACCTTCCTAAGGGGCCAGCGGAGGATGCAGGCTTCCGCCTTTGGACCGGTGCGAGGCCGTGCCTGTGCCCGCAGCTCCCGCCGAGAGACGTGCCCCAGCCTGGCGCCCTTCCCCGCACTCCCAGACTTTTTGCAGCTATTCCCCCTACTCAGACTGGCCTGTGGGCGCGCCCGCAGTACCCCCAGGCTCTCTGAGGCCGCAGGTTAGAAGGCGACCCGACTGTACGCCGCTTCTGGGTTATGATCTGTCCACTCCATCAGGTCGTGACCCCCACGGCTGCGACGCCTTGGTCTTTTCCTCCGTCCCCATACCGTTAATACAGAGGTCGCAAACTCAAATTCCCATAAGAGGCCAGAGAGAGATCTTGGCAACCAATGAGGGAGGGACCCCTGTGAGTAAATGCACCACAGGCCTGTCTAGAGTGGGCAATTGAAACTCTACTCCCGCTGATTTCTACAATGTGGAATGCAGCCTGGTGTTTCCAGATCTTCTCACCTTCCCAGGGAAACCAGAATTCAAGATTTCAATATGGAACTCCCTGGTTTTCATACATGCAACCCAAACCTTGCACAGCTGCACACCTCATCCAATTTGGAGGCCACCAAGTTGCAAGCTCTTCAATAATAATGACAGCAGCAAACAGAGGGCTGTTAAAAGCACTTTATAAACTTAATTTGCTTCTCACCACAGCTTTAAGAAATGGGTATCTTCCAGATGGAGAGCCTAAGGCACAGAGAGGTCGAGAGGCTTACTCACAGTCACACAGCTGGAAATGGCAGAATCGGAAGTTGAACCCAGGCAGTCTGGCTTCAGAGTCCCTGCTCTTAACCCCTCTACAGTAAGCCCTCAACACCAACTAGAAGGTACTATTATAGACAGGTGTGCTTACCCAAGTTATGGTGTCTACTGCTAAGAGCTCACACCTGTACTCTTTTCTGGATGAGTCCCTCAGCCACTGGGAGCCAGCCACCTTGCCCTGATGATGAATGTCTGGAAAGATACTCATCCCCACCCCCCACTTCCATGTACTCTGTAGGCAATAACTGATGCTGGGGACAAACCCTAGTAGAGTCATACTCCAACACCCTGTGGGATCAGACTGAGGCCAGCTGCCCTTTGAAACATCTTGGCCCAGCTCCTTCCTACCCTCTTCTCTAAGATATTCCCTCCATGAACCACTTGGACAGGAATCCCCATCTCAGGCTCTGCTTCTAACAGACCTGACCTAAGCTCCTACACTGAAAGAATGACCCAGAAGCCTGTGTGTCCTTTTGAACCAAGAAGTGGCCAAGAGCTGCTGGGAGTTTATTTCTGCCCCACCAACCCAAGGTGGCAGAGCCCTTGCCTGCTGTGTCATCCCCACACTGGGCCCAGCCAGGCTTAAGTTAGTGCACACACATCCACCACGGTGGGCTCCTCACGGGTGAAGCCGTCACCAAAGCCCTCGTCATTTACCAGGTCAGGCTTGCGGCAGCACATAGGGCAGAGATGGTTGCGCACAGCAGAGGACCGGAGCCAGACGACAAGGTTCCAGCGCTCACCAGTGCCCAGGGACCGGGCCCCATGCAGCTGGCCACCCCGGTGCAGGACACCCTGGCCCACCATGTGCTCCACCTCCAGGGGCTTCGTCAGGGCTGAAGGTGCCTGCAGACAGTGGGACTCAGGCCTGGGCACTCTGGCTGCCCCAGCCCCTGCCCATGGATCACACTCACTAACCTGGAAGAGGCCCCCAAAGTATAGGGCACCCCCTGTGAAGGACTTGCCCAGGGCCACGTTGACGGTAAGCTCAGCGTTATCATAGTGGCAGCCCAGCTCACGGTCCTGGCCAGGTGCATATTTGACCACGAAGGCTCGGTGGCTGTCAAGCCAGCCCCCACCACAGTCTGGGTACAGCAGGGCCATCAGTGGCTGCAGGAAGCGCTCCCGAAGTGGTGTCACCAGAGGCTCGTCCAGGCCTACCTCGTGTAGTAGCACCTAGAGGAATTCCAGGATTGGTAGGGAAACTGGTGGGTCCCTGGGGGAGTCACTTACCTAATAGTGCTTAGCAAACATCAACTCACATACTCTCCTAATAATCCTACCATGACTTCTTACAGAAGAGTCACACACCTCATCCATGGCACTGCGAGATTCATCTCCCCAGATCCCAGATGTCCCCACCTCCTCAGGCCCAACCAGGCAGAGCCTCACCCACCCCATAGTTGTTCATGGTGTTGGGTCTTCCCTTGGGCATGTCTGACTGTTCGAAGTGCTCCAGCTCCTCCAGCAGGGCTTGGCAGAAGGGCATTGTGAACACTGGCAGCCGGTAGATTCGCTTCTCCTCTGCAGAGGGAGGGACAGTCTGTTAGCTGGGAGGTGTGGTGTGGGTTTCAATTTCCTCATGATCTGTGTGAGCCTGGGAATATCTTTTCACTTCTCCAGCCTGTTTCCTCATATGTACAAGGGGGATGATGAAATGTGTGCCTCAGGAGAGACCTACTCTTGCACCCACTCTCTTGTCCCTAGAGCCTCTCATTCTGCCTCCATGGGTACCCACAGGTCTAGCCTCCAGACTCAGATGTGAGTCCTGGTGAGGCCCAGAGAGAGGAAGAGACTAGCCCAAGGACAGCCAGTAAGCCAATGATGGAGCCAAGCCAGGACCCAGAGCCAGCATCAGACTTTCTATGCACCACCACCCCCAACACACACACACACCCCTCCCTCCATGAGCCACCAAAGTCCAACCCAAGTGTCTGTTAGAGCCTCTGTTCCCCACAGGAAGGCTGATAGAAGCTGCTCCTTCTTGCTGGGCCATGGTGGGGAGGGACCAGACTCAGAATGGAAATGCAACCACTTCCCAGCAGACACACGCATGCCTTTGGTGCAGGGCTTGTGTGCCCCACACTTTTGGTCAACTCACAGTCCAGCCCCAGCCCCACCCAAACAGCCTCTGTGCAGTTTCAAATGCTGGCAAGTGGCTGGCAATAAGGAGAGCTCCCCAAGATGAACAGGGGTTTCATCCCAACAAAGTTCAGGTTCCATTTACATCTGTCCCCACAGTACCTCTGACCTAGGATAACAGGACCTTATGATGAGCAAGCACTTGCTAAACACACACTATGCTGAGCCCATTAGGCACATTGCCTCACTTAATCATCACACCTTATTATCACATCTCCTATTTCACAGATGAGGGAACAGGTAGGGAGATTAAGGAACTTGCAAGGACCAGGACTTCCTGCTGGGTTTAGCCAATGGAAGACCTGCCACCAGATCTGCAGCCCGGAGGAGGGGGTATTTCTGAGTTCAGAGTGGCTTTGGGCCTCTGCTTAGGGCCACGGCAGCTCTCTGGCAGCCCCTCTCCTGCATCTCCAAGTCATGGCAGATTCAGGAAGCTTCAATCTTGCCCACTCCTTCAGGCCTAGAGGTAGGAACTGCTCCCTACCCCACCACACCCCCACACCCCCAGCTGGCTCATGTCTGATCCAGGGCCCTGAAGAACTGCATTGGGTGAAAGTGAATGAAAATTCATGTCCTGCACCTGGTAGGTAAATCCCAATGGCCCTTCTAGCTCCTGCTGGTTTGGTTTTTGGAGGCAGACATAGTGGGTGGAGGGACCCGTCTCGCACCCCATAGTCTTGTCAGGTGATGGGGCCAAGCCCTCACCTGACACTGTCTCCAGCTGCTGGAGAAGCCCCTCGAGATCTGCACCTGGTGACGTGCTGTACTCAACTGCAGCCAGAAATTCAGGGGTCAGAGCCACATTCTGGGGAGAGAAAACAGCTATGGGGCAGAGAGCCCCCAGCCTGTATGCCTCCACCTCCTTCCAGTAACCTACCAGGTACCTGCAGTGAGTTGTAGACGTCTGGCCTTGCTGGGTGGTAGGACCTCGCAATGAGGGCTTTCCTGGCTGCTGACTCCTGTCCCATCCGCTGCCGCCGCTCCACCTCCTGCTCAAGCTGGGGTAGCACAGGGCCTGGTTACCAGGATGGTGCCTTCTATCCCCCCCAGGGCCATTGTACAGATGGTGACGGAGGTTCAGGAAGGCCAGCACAGGGCCCAGGCTGGGAACCAAGTCTCCCTAAGCTCCTGACTCTATGAGGGTCAGTTGCAGGTACTATTAGCTGAAGGGGACTTCTAGAAGGGGGCCCTTCCCACTCTCAGCTGCATCAACCTGAACCTGGCCAGAGGCTGCAGAGGGCTTTCCTGGACCCCCAGGTGAGGGAGGATGTGGAAAACAAGCAGCAGCAGCCCTGAGCCCTGGGTGGCGTCTCAACTCCATCTGCCAGGAGACCTTGGGGTGACTCCCCTCTTTGAGCCCATGTTTCTCATCCCAAAAGGTCATAAGGTAGAGAGCTTGGCACCGCCTGCTTTCTCTTTTTCTGGTGTGGTGGGACCCAGGTGCTGTGGTGAGTGGGGACAGGAAGGGGAAAAGGGAAGTCTACGGAGCCCTTCAGGGATCTGGGACTGGCAGACCTGAGTCTGGAAACCCCTCATTGCTGACACAAATCTAAAGAGTAAGGACTAGGCTGGTGATGGAGGGTGGAGAGTGTTACCTCCTCTAACAGCTGCTGGAAGTCGTTGGGGCTGACACAGCCTCGGCTGCGCAGGATCTGAGAGCAGAAAGACTAGTGAGCATGACTGTGACCTTGGGCAAGTCACATAACGTCTCTGAGCCTAAGTTTCCTCTCCTCAAAATCGAGATGAGAGCCCCCATCTCACAGAACCATTGCGACGAGGAAATGCGACCAGCACGTTAAGCACTGAGCGGAGTTCCCAGACGCTCTTAGTAACACACCGACAGTGCGAGCACTCTGGGCCAGCCCTGTCCTATGCACTCTACATGTGTGTGAGTTCACTCATTCGTCACAACAGCCTCACTGAAGAGATACCCATTTAAGCTGAAAAAACTGAAGCGCCTAACGGTTAAGTCATTCTTGTGGTTAGATCTGAGCATGCGGTTCGCTCCTCGGGCAAAGCAAACGACCTCGGGAACAAGTGTCTCCGCGTATTTATCCGCTGAGCCAGTAGAGGCCACTCAC